GTATGCAGAGCCAGGGAGACAGCATCATCCACTGATGTGTTGTTCTGGTAGGCGAACTACAGGGGGTCCAGGGACTCTGTGATGGAGGAGTTGATGTGTGACAACACCAGCTTCTCCAGGCATTTCATCACCACAGATGTTAATGCTACTGGGCGGTAATCATTCAGGCATGTCCCTTTTGTCTTTTTGGGGGTTGGAACAATAGTGTTTTTTTTAAAGCAGGTGGTGACCATGGACTGTGACAGGGAGGAGTTAAAGATGTCTGTAAACACTGTGGTCAGGTGGCTTGCACATGTCCTCAGGACGCGAGGTGGTATCCCATCAGGCCCTGCAGCCTTACGGATTTTCACCCGTAGGACAGCTGTTGGACAGATGGTCTCGCATTGTCCTCTACAATGCACTGGTATAGAGAGGGATTCATGGTGGGCTCAATGGCTGTGAGGCATCCAGGTCCTGTGCTGCAAAGCAAGCCCAATATTATCACCCCTCCATCACCGTGCTTGACAGCTGGTATGAGGTTCTTGTGGTGATGCGCGGTGTTTTTCGCCTAACATGTTGTTAGTCAGACAACTCTTTAAAACTAGCTTTAAAACGAATTAATTAGTTAACTTAATTAAGTTAACTAATTAAGATCACTTTATTGGCCACATACAATTTCTTATATTAGGAATTTGTCTTTTTGCATACCCCAGCTTGCTCTCCATGAGACACACAGACAGGGAGAGAAGCTGGGGGTCAGAGCACAGGGTCAGCCATTTATACGGCGCCTCTGGAGCAGTTGGGTTGAAGGGCCTTGCTCAGGGGCCCAACAGATTAGATTCCTCTGCCAGCCACAGCCTCAGAGCCACCGCTCCGCCCCTATTGTTAAATATACAGTATCCACTATACTGTAGGTCACTCTGCTATCAAATGAAATGAAAACGTTGTTAAAGAGGTTTGTATTTCTTGGTAGAGAAAGTCTCTGGTCCTGTTTCTGAGTGAGTTCTGATACAGGCACTCTGACAGACCTGTGAGAGCAGAGGGGTTTTCCAGCTGAACGGCAGATATTCTATGTAAGCACTTCTCACCCTTCTAGAAGAATTCCTTTTTGGAACGTACAGTATGCGAGTTTGTAACCAATGTGTCACCTTGCTGCAAATGAGAAACTGGGGTTTTCATCTGGGACTTTGCAGAAATTAGCTGGCTTTCTGAATTACAGGATATGCACATTCAAAATATTTCAGGTGTTTTCAGCAAATGTGGCATGTATCATGCTTTAGAATGCAATCCTAGAAATCATTGATTATTTTAGCTTTGCAGAGACATTTTCCAGTAAAAATAAGTGTTTCTGAATATTTTAACTTTTTTTTTGCTGTCTTTTCTTTTGTTCTTCAGGTAATGGAACATGATCTTTTCATGTGGAAAACAAAATCTAGTTTTTGGACAATGAATAGGAGGAGAAAAGGGCCCCACTCACTTCTTCATTAATTCTGTAACTTTTTTAAATTGTAGTACTTTGATTTAGTAGTTTAGTACACTATTGGATACTCAAAATAGAGATAGTCTGAGAAAAATAATTACACATGTAAACTTGTTTTGCAAAAAATTTGGAAGGTTCACTTCTGCTGAAAATAATACAAGATGAAAATATCAAAGAGGAAGCAACAATTCATAATAGGAATATCCACTGAAAATAGTAAAGGGATTTCTAACATTGTGCATTCATGTAATTCAAACACTGAGTAGGAACATCACTCTCGTTACACCTTAAGACAAATTAAATTTGCTCAGATGTGCTTCAAGAGCACATAGAACATGAATGTAAGAGCATGAATATAGACAGAGATACAGCTTCAGGAACATTAATGACTTTTTGGAAATGCAAAATGAAGTTGCATGTTTCTTGTTTGAGTCGATGTAATCAAATGCACTTTCATGATAAATAAAACACTGATAATTTAGTGAGGGGAAGCAGCCTTTTTGAACACTATTTAACAAGTTAAATTTAAAAATATACCAAATGCGCAACAAGCAGATATTTTAAATTTTACACCAGGCAAAAAAATTCCCTTTCATTGCTTTGCGTGTTAAGTTTAAGTTTGTTAACCCTGCTTCTTGAAAAAAAACCTGTAGCAATCTCTCACCAGCAATATTTGACAGGGAGCCCCTGCTGGCTTTGTGTTCCAGACAGGAAGTGAAATCAATCGGTGTCAGAACTGGAGATTTCTCTACAAACCACAGGTGTGTTTGTACGGGATTTTCTCTGGACACTTAACTGTTCAGACTGCTCTAGTTTGGTCTGTTTTTTTGTCTCGCTCCTCTGAAGCCCAGTCCGGTCCTCCATTCCTCTACTCAATAAAGCTTTTTTACCCCGGTGGAGGGGGTAGCTCTCAGCCATGGACTCCCAGAGGTTTCCTTTCAATTAAATGAGGTTTTTCATCCCCTCCCAGTGCTGTGCAGCTCTTTTTTGGGTGTCAGGAGCCGCCCTTGTCATGCCCTGTGCACCTAGAAGGTGCTACTATTCTGTCCTGTTCCTAGTTCCCTGTGATTGTTCATGTCTTTCCGGTGTGTCTTCTTGTGGAGCCTATTTACTTCCTGTGTCTGCTCTGCTCCTCGCTCAGCATTGAGGGTACGGATGTCCTGAGACCCGCTTAGCACCAGGTCGCCCCACATCCGTGGCCCGAGGGCACAGGTTTCTAAACCAACATCGTCTGACCCCCTGAGCCTGGGTTAACCTCCGTGTTGCCCCTTTTACCCCTACACATAGGGTCTCTACTGCTCACCTAGTCATTCCACTATAGGCCTTGCCCTTTCCGACATCTGTGACAGGAACAAGTAATAGGTTTGTTCCATGCTAAAAAGAGAAGAAAGGAAACATAATGTTTTTGCTGTGGAAACACCCGAAGAAGGCTCCACAGCCAAAACACTGTGTTTCCTTTCTTCTCTTTTCAGCACGGAATAAACCTTTCACTTGTTTCTATGCAGCCTACGCATGCTGATGCAGCTACCCACCTGGACTACTTGTTTTCTTGTGTCCTTGCTTTCTTCTGTTCTTATGTTCTTGTGGCCTTGTGCTCTTGTGATAAATAGCTCCTTGACAAGAGAAGCTCTGTCACATCAACTTTCACTCGAAACAAACTACCTGCTTTCCCAGAAACATGACAGTACAGGTGCACTTTTGTCACACGTGATTGTGAGTGAAGCACAAGAAATGGTTTCTGGAAATATCAGCTTTGATTCATTAGAAAATGAGTCACTCTTCATACGTTCTTCCCAGAAGAACAGAGGAGCATGGCACGTGATGCTTGATAATACCAGAAATGACTTTAAAAATTGTATTTTTATTGACCTATTTAAATAGGTCACAGAAGTTAAACTAGTGTTCTCATGAATAAAAAAAAAAATTACACAGAATACACAGCTTCCAATATTCATTTTGAAAAAGAGCTTTTTTCACATATTCAGTATTTGTCTTTGGGGTTAGTTGAGGCTTACTCACATTATCGGCAAACACACTTTAATTATGCTTAACAGTATGTGAGTGCATGAGTTTCAGTCTGAGGTATCATATCATAGAATAAAGTACTCTGTTACGGTACTCAGAAAGTGAACAAAATTACATCATTAGCTTTATTTCTTTTTAAACGTCACTGTTCACATGACAAATATTAGAGTACTTTTTTTAGGTTTACCTCATTTTAAGAAATAAAAACAATTACCTTCTTCTTCTATTTCCTTCTATGATAAGCATGTTTATAGTTGCTATATAATGTGTTGTGTGGTTCACTGGTTAGTACTGCTCCCTCACAGCACTGGGCCCTAGGTTAAGGTTCAAATCCCAGGGTGCTGTCTGTATAAAGTTTGTATGTTTCCCCCAGGGGCTCTGCTTTCTTCCCACAGGCCAAAGACATACTGGTAGTTTAATTGTCTTCTGGGAAAACTGGTCGTGTTGTGAGTGTGTTTGAGTGCCCGTTGCTTGATGGGACAGGCTATGGCTTCTCTGAAACCCTCTATTTGATAAAGTGGTTAAAAAAATGCAAGAATTAATATATTTCTTCCCTCATGAACATTTCTATGAATAAAGGCAGTAGTTGCAAACAGACGATTCAAGAACCACTAAGAAAACTATTTTAGTAAACGCACCACAATCATATCAGAAGCACAAGCAGGCACATATGAAGTTTCGTCTGCAATTGGATTCTCAGTCCCACATGGACTCCTACTTTCGAAGCTCTAATGTCAGTCCTTCACAAAAAAGCTTGTTTCCCCCTTAACTGTAAATCTCAACAATGAAGGAAAATAACATTCAAAATGTCTTAAAACTCTTTTATACTGATGCTTTTGCAGGAGCACAGGGATGCGGCAGGTTGATTTTTTTGTGAGTAGAACAGAACCTACAAATGAAAGGTACCTTTTGACTCTCCTGTAACAATAACATTGGTGACCACAAATTTCAAAAGTGGTCACCCATTCTATTCTTAAGTAAGTGTGATTGCAGAATACCAGGATGTCCGTTATTCATTGATGTGGTTAAAAACCATGACAGAGCTAGCGGGGGCCCTACCAGTCATTTTGGAGCTTATTGTTGTCTTCAGTTTTGAGTTCTGATGTGCATACAGTATTTCAATCACTGTCATTTTGAAAAAACTTCCATCTGTTGGGTGGGAGGCCATTAAGCCAGTCTAGGGCATTTGGTAGTTAGTAATTAAAAACAGTCTGTATCTCAGCTGGATGCTGAAGCAGTGCTTAGTATTGCTGCCTGTAGCACTGGGGCCCTGGGTTCAATTCTGGACCTGGGCTGCTGTCTGCATGGAGTTTGTATGATCTCCCCATGTACTCATGGCTTTCCTCTGGTTTCCTCCCACAGCCAAAAGACACACGGGTAGGTAAATTTACGTGTGAGAAAATTGGCCCTGGAGTGAGTTCGTGTGAGAGTGTGCCCTGCGATGGACTGGTGTACCCCTCCTTGTGCACTTGCCAGGTTAGGCTCCAGCTCCCCTGCCACTCTGAAGTGGATACATAGTTAGAAAATGGATGGAGCTTCACTGCGTGGTTTGGGAGCTGCTCCACCTTGGATCACAAACTACTGCAGAGGGTGGTGAAGTCAGCGCAGCTCATTACCGGCTGTGAGCTACCAAACATCCAGGAGATCTACTCAGCTAGATGTCTGAAGAAGGCCAGGTCCATTCTCAAGGACCCCAGTCATCCCAGTCACAAACTGTTTTCCCTCCTACCGTCCGGTAAACGGTACCGAAGCATTCGGTCAAAGTCCAACAGATTACAGAACAGCTTCTACCTCCAGGCAATAAGACTGCTAAACAGCCAAGGTGCAGTCACCTTCAGCAACCACCCTAATGGTCTCTGTTAAATGGTCAGGCTACCTGGACATACAGTTTTCATTGTATTTGGCACACTGCATATTGCACTGTTTGGACATAATGTATTGCATATACCCTGGATATGTAGCAGTTCTCTTCATATTGAGTTTTTGTCATTCAGTTTTTATTGCACTATTTTTATGTAACTTTATTCTGTAACTTTTAATTTTGTGATTTTTATTCCCCCCAGTGAGCTTACAGAAAAGACCTTTCATTGCCAGCAATTACTGCTGCATGCTGTATTGTTGTGCATTTGATTAATAAACATTGATTGATTGGTTGATTGAAAATCTAAATCTGTCAGTGTGTTTTATTAAATTAACATCTGAAATTCAGTACGAATGAAATTCTCCTTTTACAAGCTATTTAAGTATGACAAGTCAAAGGCTGTCCACAGATTTGTAATATTTCCTGATCACAGCCAGTATACAGTACTTACAATGTAAAGACTTTGAAGAAGTTCAATTAAAGAAGGGAAAAAGAAGTACCGCCTTCACAGTGTGAAAAAATCACAGTGTCTCAATGAGGGTGGCGGATTTGTCATTCCTTGTTCTTGAGCTTCCCGTTGATCAAAGGTCCACCACGCACAGACATTTGTTAATTTTCACACTGTGCAGAGGTGACATCTAACTAGGCCTCAGGCTGAAAAGAGGCATCCTGAAGAATAGGATATGAGTAAATAAATAATCCTTATCACATATACAGTAGCTCTTTTTCTGGACACTCCACTTAAAGCTTACAGATAATGGGGACTCCCCTCCACCACCACCAGTGTGCAGCCCCACCTAGATGATGCGACAGCAGCCATAGTGCGCTCACAGTACACTCACCCCACGGCAGCTATCAGTGGAGAGCAGAACATGGTGATGAAGCCAATTCTTATATGGGGATTATTAGGAGGCCACAATTAGTAAAGTCCAATGGGAAATTTGGCTAGGAGGCCAGGGTTACACCCCTACTCTTTTCGAGAAATGGCCTGGAATTTTAATGAGCAGAGAGAGTCAGGACCTCAGTTTTATGTCTCCTCTGAAGGCCGGCGCCTCTTTTAAAGTATAGCAACCCCATCGCTAAACTGGGGCACTTCACAATGGAAGAGAACACAATGCATCGTTACATCTGTCCATCTGCATACAGACAGTTGGTCAACGAGCCCCAAGCAGTGCGTTCTGCCCACACCCAGAAGGGACACTTCCCCTCCACCCAGAACGAGTTCTGAGACCTCAATAAAGGGGCATCTCCATCAGGAAGACTCAAGGGGATCTTGAGAGAGAAGAACTGAGGGGGACACAGATTGAAGCACTGGAACCAGGAGAAAACTCAGGGATTGAAACCAGGGACTCTGCTGTGAGCAGAGGAGGAAGACCCCAGAATTGTCTTCCTCTTTGTCTTCCTCCCCCTCTGCTCAAAGCTGGACTTGGAGAACACAGGGCACGTTGTTCCAGATGGTCTGGATTGAAGAGGAAGCCTAAGAAAGCCCAAGAACTACACAAAGTTTCACCTCTTTTCTGGACGTGGCAGAATGAGGCACATCAGCTCAACTAGAGCTGGTTTTGTCAAATAATAATACTGGAGTTTTCCTTTGGGAAAAATGTTTTTTGAGGAACTGGGGTCCATGGGATTCTTGTACTGTTCTCTCAGTAAGTACCTTATGTGGAAACGTTGTGTTATGTGATCTGTGTGCCAGGTATGTCATGGGTCCTCTGTGATGGTAGATTGAGGTAAATGGGATGGAAAATGGGTAGAAATAGTAAATAGGATAATTATACATGACCAATATCTTGTCTGGTCCATGGGTGCACTGGTGAGTTTGGGAGATACAAAGAACTTGTTGCACAAGGGGATACGGGTCCTGGCACCCTTACAATTGCTAGGTGATGTAATTGGCTACAACGCTAAACTTTAAAAACAAAAATTGCCTTGTTAGGATGACTGAATCCTCCTTATGTTTGCAAGGAATGAGCCCGGGAGCTGCTGCAGGGGTGCAGAAGAGTTGGCAGAAGTGTTGCAAAAGAGATGTGCAAGGAGAAGTTCGGGAGGTGAGATAGACATGCGTGTAGGATGCCGAACTGGGTGAGATTAGGATCTGACCTTCTCACAGATTTGTGATAAAAGAGTTCCCTAATAAGTCAAGTGTGTTATAGCCAATTTACATTATGGAAACTCACATTCTAGCAGAAATAGATATTACCAGTAAGGTCTCTTTTTATACCTTGTGCATCAGAGCAATTAGTGGTTGTCTGTGTTTCATACTTTATGTGTGAGAGTGTTAACACTTAGGTTGTTACTAATGTGTAAAATCTGCACGTGTTTTGCATATTTCGACAAGGAGCTGAAACTTGACAGGAAGTAGTTAAAGTTATGCACCAAAAGGTAAATTTACCAGGGCAATCACTTTTCTTTTTCTTCTAGAGTTATTCTAGCTTTTCTAGCTGTCAGGAAAACCTGCAATCTTCAGGTATTAAAAAATCTACATTTCTTCATTTCAACAAGGAAGACACAGCACTTGAACTGATGTACTGTAGAAACTGCAGCATGCTGTTGTTTGTATGTGTGCATGCGTGTGTTTGCATGTCCTTGTGCAGATGTGCATTCTGTGTGAGTGAAGTTTGGAAGTTCTAGAGGTTCTGGCTGTAGTTTCTCATGAGCCATGAAAAGAGAAAAACAGTTCAAATTCACCCGTGTCTGCTTGTTCAGACCCCAAAGAAAAGGCTTGGCTTTACAGTATGTACATAACTCTCGTGTTGCCAGTATAAACAGATATCAATTTGCCTGCTTCCTCTCAGCTCAGCATGTTTACTAGATAGTATGCATTTCTTGCCTGGTGTGAAGAACACCATTTAATACACCATTCATAATCTTTTGTATTAGTCACTAAGCCAACTGGTTGTGCCAGTCATAGAAACTGCTAGCTAGCAGGATAAAAGTGTTCTGAGAAAACAACTAGCAAACCTTTTCAATCTGGGCCATCTCAACCAAAATAGTTAGATAATAGTTAGAAAATAGAAAATAGTTTATTCAGGCTGTGATCATGTCTGAGACGATCGACTTTCTGCTAATTGCAACTAATGGCCAAAAAAACCCCAACATTTTCATGTCTTGAAGGGAAACTGGAACCTTACAATCATGAAAAGACATGAGAGTGGAATGCGTTACTTCAGTAATGAAGCTACTGAAAACTATCTTTACTATTCCATCAGCAGGCAATTAGCATTACAATGAATTCTCCTTTAAGTAATTGTAATGGGGCGTAGTTTAGGACCCTGTGCAGGCGGCATAATCCGGAAGTGACTGGAAAAGGGCTACAGGAAAACACAGCTAGGAAAGGAAGGAATGGCGAACAGGGGGTGGTGCCGACAGTGGTCAGGTGCAAGGGGGGAGCGCAGGCAAACAAGTCCAGGGACGTCCAATCGGGAAATCCAGGCGCAGCCCAAAATCCAAAGCCGGGTGATCCATCCAAGACAAGACGAGCAAGGTTAAAAATCAGGAGCGGAATCCGGAACAGGACAGGAGGTTAAAACAGTCTGACGAGGCCAGGCGCTCCGAGGCCCGGGCTCAGCAGGTCAGGATGCCGATCGGGAGCCTAAGCCATCAAGCCGCAGACGTAGGGCGACTTGATGCTAGGGGGGCCTCTGGGTCTCCAGGCCTCCGGGCCTCCATCTTCCACTGCAGAGCCCCGAGGTTCCGGAGCACCGGGTTTAAATAAAGGACGGAACAGGGGGCAGGGGAACGTGATGATGAAATAAACACAAAAGGCTCGGAGCGCCCTTTAGAGGAGGGATGACGATCGTAACGGTAATCACTACACGTGACCAACTTGACAAAAGTAATCACTACACTTTCCATTAAAACTGAAAGCTTTCTGACTTTAATAGCACAATTACTACAGTTAGGTCTTTAAAAGTTCCTATTATGAAATCATATATGTTTACATTTAGGGAGAAATGTGGCATTGAGGACTCTTACGCCCACCACAGGTTTGACATATGAGGCCAATCGCAGTAAAGTTTTCTTGGTCATTTTTGTACCTTGCTGGCATTTTGGAATTTTGGAAGTTGCTTCTTTCATTCATAGCACAGAACAATTTATTGTCCAGGTAGGAGGCTCAGGCTGCTAGCTGTCATGTCACATGCATATGCAAATATAATAGGCCAATACGTATTCTCCCACCTAGTGTCAGACTTTGGTCATTGCTTCCTACAATTGCTCGCTAGTGCTTGTATGCAACGGTTATAACTCATGTTTATGCAAACTGTCAACTGCTGGCCTCCATTGCCATCTGTCAGCTTGCGTGCATATTCAAATATAGTAAAATAATTTTAAACTAGTATTGGTGTTCGATATTGCATTTTCTTTGGTGCAAAACATTTCTGACTCATTCACAGATTGAAGAATCTGTGAAATTTAACATGCATTTTTTGTTTATAAGTAGAAAAAATCAAATACACACATTTTGAAGTAAACAACCTTTATAGTGTGTACCGTACAGTATGTTAAACAGTTCAAGGAGAAGAAATGGGATTAATTTTAAACTAATATAAATCCAGCTATAAAGTATCTGTTTATGCCATACATTTTAATGTGCATATTATAGCATATAA